TTAAGTGTGATGATTTGGGGAGCCGTTTGGGTTGATGGGAGATCGAGCTTAGTGGAGTGCGTTGGCAACATAAATTTTGCGAAATATGTCAAAAGATTGGAAGAAGGACTCTTGCCACTTTATTCCTCGGGTTTTGTGGACAAGAACACAACGTTGTTCCAGGAAGATGGAGCACTGTGTCACACTGCTAGAAACACCCAAAAGTGGCAGGAAGAAAATGATATCCAGAAGTTGCCCTGGCCGAGCTAATCTCCTGACATGAACCCTGTCGAAAACCTCTGGGCCATACTCGACCAGCAAGTCAAGAAACAACCAAAAAAACAACTTTGGAGAGCAATCTACTCCAAGTTTTGAAGCAAAAGTGGGTGAAAACCCACAATCTAAAATTGATGAGATGATTCTCACGATGCCCCAAAGGATCAACGAACTCCATGAAGTGAAAGGAAGATCTACTAGATATTAATTAAATTGTAAATATATCAATTCATGTGAATATGACTGAAAAGGTGGTGTCTATTTACTTGTGACCACTCTGTGTATTTGTAATGCAACATATTCATGATATTCCTAATGTATTTGTAATGTAACATATCCATGATAGTACTAATGTATTTGTAATGCAACATATTCATGATATTACTAATGTATTTGTAATGCAACATATCCATGATATTACTAATGTATTTGTAATGCAACATATCCATGATATTACTAATGTATTTGTAATGCAACATATCCATGATATTACTAATGTATTTGTAATGCAACATATCCATGATATTACTAATGTATTTGTAATGCAACATATCCATGATATTACTAATGTATTTGTAATTCAACATATTCATGATATTACTAATGTATTTGTAATGCAACATATCCATGATATTACTAATGAATTTGTAATGCAACATATCCATGATATTGCTAATGTATTTATAATGCAACATATTCATGATATTACTCATGTATTTGCAATAAGACAAATCTAACATCACATGCTGGTGGATGTAACAAAAATGACAAATAAGTCTATCCCGAGCATTAGTTGTCTATCCTGAGAATTATAATGGTGTTCTGTCACTCCACATTGAAAAAATAAAGAGTACCTGCTAATAAAATAAAAATTGTTAAATGTATTATTGTGTACCTTTGAATATATTTACATTTTACTATTTGGAAATATTTGACAACATTTTCCTCAATATTGAAAAAAGGTATAAAAACCAAATACTATTGGAATGCCAGCACAAAGTTCAGGTACAAACATTACTGGGATTGTACTGGCTTGTGTAAAAACTGAGAAAAGCAACCAAACAACTAGGCTAATTGTGGGGAGTAATACAGGACATTTGGAACAATATTCTACTATTGTTCATTGATAAACTGTATGGCAGCATGAAAACAAGGTTTAATATTCTGTGAAAGATAAAGGACTCACATAAAAATACCAATTCTTTATACAATTTACTTACTTGTATTTTCTATGATAGTGTTGTGTATCATTAATAAATGCCTCATTACTTGTTTGTTTATTGCTTGTGTATTGCCATAACTATTTTCTTAATGTAAATGTTTTGAATATTAAGTTACTAACTTGTAGTTTCATGTGAGATCAACTTTTTGAATTGTTGTTAACCCTATCATGGAACTGTTGTGGCTAGTAATGAGACCAGATGAATTACTATGGTCATAACATAATATCCTAATAACGTTTGGCTTACAAAAAAAAAAGGCTTTTTATTAACTTGTGAGCTTTTGCTCAAAAGTCTTGACTGAAACATTATGAAAGACCAATAACATTTGATATAACAAAACAAAGGCTTTTGTTCCCATGATATGTTAGTTGAGAGAAGTGACACACAAGAAAATACACATTTTATTGTGTAAGAATAGTATGGAATATGGCAATCAATCAGCAGACAGTTGAGTTTAAATTTTATGTTATTCATATCTATGATACTCATAAAGTTAATATCCTTTCACAGCAATGATAGTACTTTCTAGTTTTTCTTATTTTGTTTAATGTGCAATTAAAACATAAATTTCTGTGATTTTTACAAAAGAAATAATTGCATACTTTACTCATTGTCTCTTGTTTATGATCATTTTTATTACAAAAGTTTTCAGTATTTCTTTTAGCATTTGTTCATGTTTCGTAAATGTAGTTTAGTTGAGAAAAGTGGACAGACTGTGTATATACTCATTACAATGTGAATTTTATAGCTAGTACAGTAGATGCAGTACTCTTTGTCTTAGCTCTTGCGTGATATGTTTGTGATTTGATAAAATTGGAGTGAAATTATCTGCTCTCTTTGTGGAAGTTAAAGATAACCAAAATGAGAACTGAGATATACCAAGAATGAAACCTATTTGTTTATAGATGTTCAGTAGGGAGAGAAGATAAAAGTTGTTAAACTTTAGGAGTTTGTTTTGGTAGATAATAACGTACACTATGCTGTTATATAGGTGGTTGCATTTAGTGTAAATACTTTAAAAATATTGAAATCATATTTGAAGAAATTAAAGAATTGTATTGTTAAATGTTATCCATTTTTTGAAAATGTTAATAGATCGGAATTTATTTGCGATTTTTATTTTTAGAATGAATATCTGAGTAGCAGTCGAGAAGTCATCTTTAAAATAGCTGTGTGCTGCATCAGAGGTAAATTGAATGAACAGATGTAGAAGAGATTAAATTTTGGTGAATATTCAAGCTGTACAAGAAAAGAGATTGTGTCTGAAAGAAGGAAACCAGAAAGAAAAGAAAAGAAATTTTATCATCATTACATCATCCTGCACATTTGCATTGTGTGGTAGTTAAAAGATTTAAAAATGATTTTCACCCTTGACATCATCAGATTTTTTGTTTCTCACTTACTAGTGTTGCAAACTACAGGAATATTAGATGATATTTTTAACAACTAGTTGTTGTTTGTGCTAAGTTTGGAAAATATCAGTAGAACAGCTGATAAGATATGTGTAAATTTATATTATCTATAAAATCATTAGCATCACATAATAAGTGTTGGACTACATTATTGCAAGGAATAATATTATTTTTTTATGTTACTGATACATACTCAAATGTTTATTTTCAAATATGATGACATATTTGGTCATGATTGTTGTTTATATTTAAGAAGTATCAAAAAGAAATTATTTAGAATTGACTTGCAAAATCTTAATTGTTATTTACATCTTTTGCTTCAAATATGCACAGTTCAGTGTACAATACAGAATGTTGTTATATTAAAAATAGATGTGAATAGCTTGTCGATTATTTTATTAATATTTCTGATAAATAACTAAAATATTTTGTTGATGCATATAAATAGTATATTGCTTGTTTAATTATGTAAGGAAGTACTTTATAAATTATTTCAAAATTTTAGTGTCTGTTGGTTATTGTAGCAGTTTGAAATTATGCAGACTTGGTTCAATCATGACGTGAAGAATAAAAAGACTAGAAGATAAATACAGTGTTTATATAAATTTGTCATTCAGGTGTTAATTAACTAAATCAATTATGAAGTGATTGTCTCATTACTGTAAAATGTGATCCTACTGATGTAGCTTTTTTAGCTTGAGAAAATTACATTTCTATCATTCTGTTTTCTAGCAACTTGTGATTATGGTTATGTAAAAAACAAATAGCTACCTCTGTTGAAGTGTGAGCAAGATGTATTTTCAATGGACAGTTCTGAATTTTAGCAAGGATGCCAGAATAAGAAATAAATGTAATTTGCCACAATTAATTTTCTGTCATAATAGAATGAAGAAAACATTCAAAATATGGTGTTTGGGACTGTGATATGTACATTAAATTCCATCCACTTACTGTTCATACTTTCCACAGTTTTGATTAAAAAAATAAAGACCTGTGAGGGTAGCCCTATATTTGTTAATGCTCTGGTATCTTAAAAAGAAAAAAGTTTCTTATTCCTTTTTCCTTAATAGCTTTTATATCAGAATAGGTATTTGTAACAATCCTTATTGACTGATTTTATGGGAGAAATTTTATTAAGGGTAATTAACGGACAGTAAGTTCACTAAAACTATTACAAAACAGATACAAAATGTCTTACTTTTTATGATTTCATACTTTATCAGAAATGCAAAAGTTGTGTTGTATTTCAAAAGTAATATAGCAAAGCATTATTGTAATTCTTTTCCTAAGTTTTATTAGTTCCAGTTTTGTTTACTATTAAATATTTATGATTTTTAAAGTCTGAAATTTTAAGATGTAACACATTATATTGTTTTTAATAATTTTCTTGAATATTATTGAACACTTCATAATCATATAATTAGTTGCTCTTCATTCAAGTGTGTAATAAAGAATCTGTTACTTATTTCTAAATAAAAATTATTATATCTTTATTTATTTTACAAATTACATAAAATTAAATCATTTTTTATACTTTTCTATAGGTCTGTAAGGTAAAGCAAATCTTGGGTTCTCAGTTGGGGCTCCACAGATTCCATGGATGGTTTACAAGGAGCTATGAAAGGGCCTTTGAGAACAGAGTAATTTTCATATTTATAATTTAAGGTTGTAGTTTAGTCTCTAATGTTTTCACTAGATCTACATTGAGTTTATTCCATGATGTGTAGCCCCTGGTGAGATCAATGGTAAATTTCAGGACTTTGATACCTCACAGTGGACAGGTGCAGATAGGCCATGTCTAATGAATCTAAGTTTCAAATGGACAGCAACTGCCTGTTGTAGAAACCTACAAATGTAGAGGATGACTTTTCAAAAGTCTTCCGCCTTTCGTCTTCAGGTCAGTGTGGAGAGTAGACCATTGTGTAGCTTTGTGCTAAAAAACAAATAAACCATTACACGTAAAGACTTCATTCATGTCAGGTGAGCTGAATATGGCCTCATGGTTTATCATGCTGGACTGTGAATACTATGGTCCATGGTGGTTCATCCTCCATTACTGGAAGAAAAAACCACACTCCAGAATTTGAGGACAATTGGTGCTTTATAAGAGTGATGGTCAGATCATATTATTTGATAGTATGTTTAATAGCTCAAAAATTGGTGGTGGGTGCTGTTGACAAGGTGTCTTCTGTTTCGTTTATCACTTCAAAATTAGGAATGAAGTCCTGCAGAAATAACGAAAGCAGGCAAACGAATGGTTAAGTTAGACCAAGATTGGCAAGGACTTTACTTACATTGAAAAGTTCTGCAGAACTCGGAAGGTTGAGAACCAATGAAGTAAAAAAGATATTGAAGAAAATGTTATCTAAATGTTACTTAACATACTGCATTTTTTGTTTCTTGAACTAGTATTTTTATTACATTAAAATAAATATAAAAATTTAAACAAAATAAATAACCTTTTGGTTTTGAAGTCAAAAAGAATTTTTGTTGTTTAAATTGTGTCTTAGACCATGTATTCAGACTATCCTTCATATATTATAGAAGCTGTCAGGTCCAGCTCCTCTCTCTCTTGAGGGGAGGAGGGTATTGGAGCTTTTATAAGACCACCATACAGTGATACAATTTTTTAAACTGCCAGGGAGAATGAACTTGGGTGGGCTAGAGTGAAATTTGGGAGTGCATGCCCACCCTAGCATTGGCTCTGGCAGCTCTTCTAGAAAGTACAGATGTTAGGTAATTACCGTACAGAAATATGTAGGTGACTTCATAAAGGCGTTGCTGCCAAGATTTCCTGAATACTAAAAGGTATGAACCTGTAAGTTTTCAATATGATTTATGAAATTAATAATGACCTTGTAGGTCATATAATGAGCCTAAAATACAAAGTAGGTTTGTTACAGAAATATAATAAACTGCATAGATCTCTGTCTGCTGATACCCAGTAACTCCATTCTAAATAAGGAGTAACTCTTAGGTTCTGAGTTGTACTCCATCATTTCTGTGAAAGAACTGTTTTCGGGGACTTCTTTAGTGTCTGGAGCCACTTGACAGGATGTGATATGTCTCCCAAGAACATCCAATATATTCTTGATGATGATATTAAAAGTCTGGTGAGTATGAAGACTACTACACTCAGTCAATTTCTGTTTCTTCAAAAAATTTGTTGACTAGTTTAATATGAAGTCCAGTCCAACTTTACCAACATATGGTAACACAAAGGGTTGTAAGATGTGGTCCCTATAATGATACCATTGTACAGGATTTAGGGTCTGTATGTTCAACAATATTTATTCCTGCTAGTATCAAATTTCCTTAACCACCACATGCATCACGTTCATTTATCAAATATTGTGTGGATCAGGTTCCAGAGCTTCTGCAAATGAACAAAAGCCTATTATCTTGCTCAAGTGAGAAGTGAAACTCATCTGCAAAACAAATATTGCTCCATTGCAGCCTGGTTGTTTTGTACGTATCTGTGATTAGAATTCATTCCCGGTATTTGGCATCCATATGCATCTATGAACATCTGATTCAATCTTGAAGGCTGTATTCTGTGATTGCATCAAGATAGAATATACAGATAATGGATTTTTCTGCTTATGTTGTGAAGGATGGCCTGCCTTGTTCAAATGTTCCACATTTTTCTAATGATATTTGTGACATGTAGAACCAATTTGCAATAGCTTGCTGTTATTGGCTGGCTTTCATCAGTAAAATATTATTAAAATTATTTTTTAAGAGGTCTAGCCTGGTGTTTAAGGTGCTTGACTCGCAATCTGAGGGTCGCAGATTAGAATCTCAGCCACTGAACATGCTTGCCATTTCAGCCATGGGGTCATTATATTGTGATGGTCAATCCCACTATTTGTTAGTAAAAGAGTAGCCCAAGAGTTCGCATGTGGGTAACGTTGACTAGCCCAGATAGTCCTCGTATAGCTTTGTGCAAAATTCCAAGCAACGCAAACTGAGGTCTAGGCTTAGTTTACGTACTTTCAACTCTTTAATTCACTTCAAAGTGATAACCATACCAAGATTGTATGAGATCACTATATACATAAAGGTTGAGTATATAATAGTAAAAAGATTTTGGAGTCTCGCTACATTTTTACTGTGTAGTTTCCATTGAAAAAGGCTCTGTTGTAAGGCTGTCATGTCTAAATTACATCCATCCTCCTTGCATACTTTTCAAAAATTATCTTGTGTATGAGGATGATGGTTTTCTACTACCTGTTTTAGCAACTTGATCAGTATAACTTCATATGAATACCCATTTCATTCTCCAGCTGTTTGAGGTATGTGATGGTTGAATGGATGTGACATGGAAACAACTTGTATACACGTGAATTGTGTTACTTTTCCAGAAAGAGATTTTTGATTATGTTGCATACTATTGTCTGTGGCATGTGGATGGCTTTTGCCACTAAACTTTGTATTCATCGATACTCATCCGTTACAAGACACTGTATTTTGCTTACTATAGATTGGGTTTGACTTGTTGCTGGTCTTATTCTGGGTGGATCTGGGTACCCAAGTTGATCCATATTCCTTTGTTTCCAGTGGCATTTGAAAAATTCAAGTCACTGCTTATAACACATCTTTATGATCTAAGTGTATGAATATTTTGCATCAGAATGGCTCTTAATTGCTCTTTACATACTCTTGGGTGTTGCTAGCTGTGAAGAGGATGCTGATGATTTACAAAAGGATTTAGATCACTTAACTAAATGGTAGATGGGTTTTAATTATAAAAAATGCAAGATAGTGCATGTGGGTTATCATACTTTGAATTATAAGTATAATTTGGATGGGAATAGCCTTCACAGTGTCATGAAAGAAAGGGATCTTGGTGTAATAGTCAATCAGTCTCTAAAGCCATCCAAGCAGTGTGCTGTTGCTAGTGGTAGAGCAAATAGGATTTTAGGTTGTATCTATAGAAATATTGAATACAAGTCTAAAGAGGTTATGCTTTCATTGTACAGGTTACTGGTTAGGCCACATTTGGAATATTGTGTTCAGTCTTGGACTCCTTACCTTAGGAAGGACAATGAATTGTTGGAAAGGGTTAATAGTAAATGGTGCCTGGGATGGAGGGGTTGTCATACAACGAGAGGCTGAAATCTCTCAAATTGTTTTCTCTTGAAAAAAGAAAAGTTAGTGTGGATCTAATTGAGGTGTTTAAGATTGTAACGGGAATTAATAGTGTTGATGTATCATCTTTTTATATTTAACAATGAAAATAGTAGGACTAAGAGATACAAATATAAATTTTGGCAAGGTAGGAATCATCTTCAGCTAAGACAGTTTTATTTTTTTTAACAGGGTGGTTGGCCTTTGGAATGGGTTGCCTTCAGCTGTAGAGACAGTAAATTTTAGTGAGTTTAAGAAAAAGCTTGATAAGTATATGAATGAAAAGGGCTGGGTTTAAATTTTTTTATTTACTTTTTTTTAACAATTTAAATTTAGTTTTGAGGATGGAACAGCCGAGATAGACCAAGAGGTCCCATGTTGCCCCAAAATATTATGTTTCTACCGCGACTTTACATCGGCTGTGATTGTCATATTCGAAATCGTTTTATTGTAACTTACTCAACCTGCAACAGTTTGTTGTTAAACTCAAAGCTGCACGTTGAGCTATCTTAGCCGTATCCACCGCAGTAATCAAACCTCTCACTTTAGTGTTATAAGTCCACGTGTTTATCGCTGTATCATCCGGGTGGGGCTGAAAATGATAAAATGGGATATTTTGTGCCACGTAAAGGATTTTTGGTTTAGCATTATTTTTTTTTCTTGTATGTTGGCAATCTGCATCTTTTTAGCAAGCGTTTACCAACAGAAATCAAATCTGAACATTCATCCTGTGACGATTTTCCCAACCCTACAAACAACACGTTAGCTCATATGGTTAGTTCGTTAACACTCGCTGAAATTACTCTGAGCTGTATTTTAGATAATGTATTGGGTGAACCCCATAGTTAAAAGAAAAAACTTTGTAAAATATTTTTGAAAACAAATTTCGAATATCTATATTTTGGACAAATTTCTTTTATAAAATTAAAACACGGAATAAAAAAAGATATTTATACCTGAAGATTGATTTCCCGCGAAACCAGGGGGAAAATTATAGACGTACATCTTCAAGATTGTTTTTTATGATTTTTTTCTCATACTTTTTCTTAGCCTGGGTGTGTGCTCGTAATAATCTCATCTGGACGTTTATCTGAAGGTTCTGGGTTCGCATCCTGTTGCTCCGAAAATGCTCTGCCCTTTGAGGCAGTGAGTTTATTATAAGAATGGCAGTTAAATCCCACTATTCAAACAGACAAGAGTTGATAGTGGGTGCTACTGACTAGCTGCCTTTCTTCTGGTCTATCAATTCAAAATTAGGGTTGGCTTTGGATAGACATCCCTTATGTAGTTTGCACGGAA